AAAGGACTTACCTTTACATAATGTTTCCATTCCTTACCTTTCCCCATTTTCAATTTTGCTTCCTCCACATCATGCCACCAAGAAAGCTTTCACAAAGATGGCCAATGATATAGTACAGAACTATGATGAAGAGATTAATTATAGATTTCCTGTGTTCAAAGTAGGTATGAGAGTAAAACTGAGTATAGTCCTTAACACTAAGTGAGCGTTGAATAAACACTGACTGCTATTATTCTTGGTAAATGATGCTTTTAGTTTTCATTATCCTTCCTTGGTCCCAGGCATTGATTTTCCCCTAGCCTTTATATGCTCTCCCTACACAATCCTGTCCAAACTAGTTTCCATTAACATGGCAACACAGATGACTACTAAATTGTACTTCCAATTTAGAAGTCTCTTGACAGCCTTACTCATATATATTCAACTACCTCCTTAACATCTCCCCTTGGACACACCAAAGACATCTCTAACAAAAGTCTAAAATGACCCTCATAATCTAACCCTCCATCCTGTCATTACCACACACCTCCCTTTTTATTTTTATTTAGATTTTTTTTTTTCCGGAGGTAGGGTGGGGGTGCTGGGGATGCGCTTCACACATTATAAGCACACACTATCATTGGGCTACACCTCCAGCCAAAAGTGCTTATCTTTTTTTAAAGACCCCTTTCTAATGCAACTATTTTTCTCTTTACCATATCTTTCCTACAAATACAATCCTAATTTGAAGAACACTGTCTCTCACTGAAGTAATCTCTTTAACCAGGGTCCCTGTATTCACTTTTCTCACTCCAAACTATCCCCAAGTATGTACTCTTAGTACTTCCATTTCTTCAAAACATCTTTAAAGTTATAAGTACACTTTTGTCATTCCTCTTATACTGCTTGTACTCAGAAGACAGGTGTGTGCGAGATGATTCTCAATGAATCACAGTGAGCCTACGGTGGTTTTCTAGTGTGTAATCATTGTATATTGGTTAGCCCCTCCAACTATCAATTCCTTTATCGGCAAAACAAAGGTTACATTTCTTAACCTACATTGTTCTACAGATCAATTAATAATGACATTAAAAAGTTTAGTTACAGAGCCAGGCGCTGGTGGCTCATGCCTGTAATCCTAGCTACTGAGGAAGCTGAGATCTGAGGATCACGGTTCAAAGCCAGCACGGGCAGAAGAGTCCTTGGACTCTTATCTCCAATAAACCACTAGAAAACCAGAAGAGGTGCTGTGGCTTAAGCGGTAGAGTGCTCGCCTTGAGCTGAAGAGCACAGGGATAGCACCCAAGCCCAGAGTTCAAGCTCCACAACCAACAAAAAAAAAAGTTAGTTACTTGCTAAAAGCTTGCCTTGAGTTTGATCTTCTCCCAAATGGACTATTCTCACAATCTCCTAATTGGTCTCAATCATGTCCAAATACCCAAAGAATAGAGTATGGCATATTACAGGCCTCAAGAAAAATTAGCTTAAGTCTGGCTTCTTTTTGGTATACCAGTATTAAAGATCACATTCAAACTCCTTCTTCCTAATCATTTCCACTGATTCTTCCCAAAGTGTATCAAACCAATAGATGAGTTCATTGCAATACTTGAATTTGTTGTGTGTTAAATCTGTTGGGAGTGCTCCTTTGAACTAGGTGGATTTTGTTTTGTTTTTTGTCTATAGTGCTTATATCTGTACCTATTAAGAGTTATCTTGATTTTGCAGAAGAGGAAGAAATAGCCAGGACCTAAGCTGGTGACTAGACAGGAGGTAAACAAAGGTATTCTCTGCACTGTATTAGTGCTTCTTAACAGTTCCAGCCATCACTTCAATTGAAAGAAATGAGTTAAACTCCCATCCCTCAAACCAAGAAAGGTACTGCCCCAACTTTCTGCTACCAATTAGTAATACTAGGTTTAATCTTCAAATAAGTTACTGTCAAATAAACAAGCTGAGGGCAGAATCCTCATAGATGGAGTCCCATACACATCAAATAGAAGTAATAATCTTAAATTTGTCCTGTGACTACAAACCTATCCCACAAAACTACATTCATCCTTCAGTTTTATCATTATCCACAAGGATATAATCAGGGAACATGTCATAAAAATGGCTACTGTTACTACTACTTTGATACTGAGCCATCAGGCATCCTCAATTGCTTAGGAGTAAGACCAGCTTCTCTGAAGGTACACTCAAGACCTATGACTTGAGAAAGAATGAGCAATCCAAGGTCAAATTTGACTTTTGTTGGGATAGTATATACTTCTCTTGAAGTCAATCTGGTCACCAACTGACAAATTGGGTCATATTAATTCTGTTATAAAGGTTGTCTTATGTATTCTAGGATGTTTCCTCTCTACCCACTGGCTGCTAGTTAAGATTCCATCCCTGGCTGTGACAGCCAAAGATTTCTGTAGACATTGTCAAATAAATATTTCTTAGGGGAACAAAACTGTCTCCAAGTATTCTAGAATGACTCCTGGTATATCTTTTACTGATGAAAGAATATTAACTGGTGAAGCTCAGACTTTAAGACATCAAAGTAATGAGAGAAAGAAAATAGATCTCTCTCATTTGTACAGGACATGGGCTTTTTTTTTTCTTTTGCAAGAGTACTTGTGGTTTCTCAATGGTCATTTTCCATTAGGAAATAAACTAAGTGGAATATGATTAAGTTAGTTAACAAAGCCTTTGGGGTGAGGCTCCAAAAACAACTAAGCATTGAAGGTTGTGCATCTGGTCATTAGGGGAGAGGAGGAAAAAAAGAAAAAAAAAAAATCTGAGTCTCTACTTAGAGGCCTGCAACATCTGACCTCTACTCTAGCCTCATAAAACTAGGGTAAAAGGAGATAGGCCAATATGACACCATCTCTACTCTGACACTAAAATCAAACACAACTTCCTCTCTGCCACTAATCAAAACCCAACCTGAACACTAAAGATGCACATACAAACATTCAAACAAAAAAGTCATTTTCAAGCCGGGTGCTGGTGGCTCATGCCTGTAATCCTAGCTACTCAGGAGGCTGAGATCTGAGGATCGCGGTTCAAAGCCAGCCCGGGCAGTAGAGACCGTGAGACTCCTATCTCCAATAAAAAAAACCACCAGAAAACCGGAAGTGGCGCTATAGCTCAAGTGGTAGAGCGCTTGCCTTGAGCTGAAAAGCACAGGGACAGCGCCCAGGCCCAGAGTTCAAGCCCCACAACCAACCAAAAAAAAAAAAGTCATTTTCCTAGATTTTAAATCTGCAAACCCAAAACTTCAGCTTTTATGGTTAATATAATGCTACACACTATCTTTGGCAGCTATTTTCTTGTTGGCCATTGAGTTCAAGCTCTAAGTACATGCATACATACATAGAGACACATACTTTGCTTGCTAAGGTGCACTATTTGTACCTTTAAGCTTCTATAGCTCTATATCCCCCCCATCTCACTCCCAGGAAGTTATAGTATAACTTTTAAGTAGTCTTCAAATAGTCTAGCTAAAATGAAGAGCTACAAAGCTAACGTATGCTGTAGACTACTGTTATGTTCGTCAAGATTTCCCATTTGACAGTGTGCTTTTTTTGATAGTTCTGGGATCTGAACTCAAGACGTCAAGTACACTAAGCAGGGGCTTAGCCACACCGCTAGTCTACTTTTTGCTTTAGTTACTTTTCAGATAGGGTCTTGCCAGGGCTGTCCTTGGACCAAGATCCTCTTATCCTCCTCCATAGCTACCATTACAGGCATGATCAACTATACTCAGACATACCCCATTTGGAAAGTGGGAGCATAAATGAAATTTACTTAAAGTTGCTGGAATGATCAAATGTAGCCAATATCCAGCCACCTAGAATATACTGTTAGATGCAAACAAAGATAAGTATTATTTGAGATGGTAAAGCAGAGTAAAGAAGAAGCGAAAGCAGATATACGCAAGGGTTTTATTTGAAAAGACATTTGAAAAAAATTATGTTAATGCCAATCACATCTGGTAGGTAATGTTTCATGTGGGAAAAATGAAAGAAAGGAAGTGTTAGGGCAAGTAGATGGGCAAAGGAGAAAAGAAAGACAGAGTCCAAGCCTATGAGGAGGGTTACATAAGACAAATGCTACAGAGACAATAGTCTCCTAATCTTCCTAGAACAATAAAAGGTCAGATATGTTCCACAGAAGCTTGGGTTTACTTATCACTGTTTATTTAATTAACAAAATTCCATTGGAAACACTTTTTGTTTCTAGTAGCTAAACCTACTAGTAGGTAACACTATGCACAAGCTACATTATGTTAAACTCTTCCTCTGGAACCACAACACTTTCAAAAGAAAAAACTTTAAAGTACATTCCACTGAAGGATAGCTCCATCGATGAATTCCAGAAATATTTAGTAACAGATTCAAAATGTCTGGATTTCCTTAAGAAAACATCAACTGCTCCAGAAACCAAAGAAAAGGTAAATGTCATTTAAATTTCATTCTCTGATGTAAATAGAGAATGTAAATCAAGTGCAAAGCAGGGATTCATGGCTGAAATGAATTTGCTGGGAAGCATATTTCCAGATGTTTCCTTTTAGGGTCCGAACTATATGCCGTTAAGGAGGTCTTAATTAAGAAGACCCGGTCCCCCAAATGCTCTGACACTACCATCTCTGCAATAAGATTCCTAACAGTTCTTTACCCCCTTCCTAATGAAATCAAGGCAGAGCCCAGGCCTGCGGAGGTTCTAGTCCATCCCCTTCATTTACCCAACAACCTGGGTCAATTCATTTCTTCAGCCTCTGGGCATCCCATCCCACCCAAAGGCCAGATCTCACAGTCCTGGGTACTCACAGCTGATGCACAACCAGTTTGATTCTCCAAAAGAGCCTGGCATACAGATCTTCTAGTTAAGTAATCTCCATGACCCCGCACCTTAAACTTCCTCACCTCAGTTTCTCCATCTGCTAAATGGGCGCAGCGAGGAGTCCGATCCCAGGGTCCCACCGCCCCCGGGCACCGAGGCCCGCGCCCCGCGCCCTCCCCGCCCGCGCCCACCTGCACGCTGGGGAAGGCGGTCTTGAGCAGGTAGAACATCTTGCGGTTGGACAGAACGTCGCCGCTGGTCATCTTGTCGTCGGCTCCCTCGCGCGTCTTCCCCTTGGACTTCTCGTGGAGGACATTGCTCTCGCGGACGCGCCGCACCTCGTCGCCGCCACGCACCGCCGCCAGCACCGACACCGCCAGCATCTCGCGCAAATCCACCACGGCGCCCGCGTCGGCCGCGGCTGCGGGCCCCGCCGCGCCCAGCTCGGCGCCCAGGCCGAAGAGACTGAAGCGGCCGGCCAGGAAGCCCGAGTAGAGATGGTAGAGCACGCCGAGCCCCAGCAGGCAGAACACCGCCACCCCCAGCGGGGACAGGCGGATGCCCATGGGGGCCATGGTGCGGGAGCCCGGGCGCTCCGGGCGGCGGCCCTCTCAGGCCTCCCCGCGCCCGCCGCCGCCGCCGCCGCCGCCGCGCTCCGGGCCGGTGCCGCGTGCACTTACGCCGGCGCCCGCTCCCCGGCGGCCGCGCGCCCCATCGCTCCCTCCCGGAGCCGCTCCTCCAAGACCGCGAGCGCCGCTCCCGCGCGCCCCGACTTCCCCGGGGAACGCGGTCGGGATCGCTCCGCCGGCCCCGGCAGGTCGGACTTCCACGTTAGCCAACGACCGAGAGGTGAAAGGGTAGCGTGGGTGTGTATCCGGGTTACGCAGGGGGCGGGGCGAGGTCGGGGGCGGGGCGCGCCATGCCCCGCCTCCAGACCTGGGTGGGGCGGGGCTGGGGGGCCCCGGGCTCCGGCCGCGCGCGGGGCTGAGCTGAGGTCTTACCTGGGGCCGCCTGCGGTGCGGGTTTTCCCTGCAGTGCTGGGGGCTGTGATTGGTTCACGCAGGAAGCAGTACTGAGGGGTGTTTCGATGAAATCTTCCCTTGTACCACACGTGTGGGTGGACTGAAGTCGTGGTGGCAGTGTGGTCACGCTCAGAGTACTGAGGAACGTTGGAAAAGAGAGAAAGCCTTTTTGAGAGATCTAATGAGCCTTGTCCACCAGCCTGGGCTTAGACACGAGTCCATACTTTTAATTGCCTCCCTGTCCTTCCAGGCCGGGGGAGGTGTGGCGGGGGAGGGGGGGGGATGGATTTCTTTGACTCCTTGTAACGGCCTCTGTGTGTGTGTGTGTCTGTGTGTGTGTGTGTGTGTGTGTGTCTCTGTGTCTGTCTGTCTGTGTGTGTCTGTGTGTGTCTGTGTGTCTGTGTGTGTCTGTGTGTCTGTGTGCCCCCGCCAGAATAAATCATCCTTTGAGATACTGAAAAAGCATGCCTTGGCCCTGTAACCTAGCCACTTGTATCTGTGTAGATTTTCCCATTTGCCTCCACCCACCAGAACACATCATCTCCTAAAAAACGGAAAAAGCATAGCTTGATCTGCGTTTCCCTTAATGAAGTAAACTTGGCAAACTTTTCTCATTCTCACTGATCGTTTAGTCCTTCCCTCCTCCCAGAAGTCAAGAGAAGGGTAGAATGGCTTGACGAAGTCCGCTTGATTTTTAAAGGTTGTCCCGAGATAGTAGATCTAAAATGCAAAATCTTTGAGTCAATAAATGCCCACCAAATGTGCCACAATAGAGGCATATTCCGAAGAAGTAAAGCCTTCTATCATTCCACTAATCTTAGAAAAGTAGTAGTTATTAAATTTGAGTAAGTTATTTTTTTCTTTTTTCTTTCTTTTTTTTTTTTTGGTCGGTCATGGGGCTTGAACTCTGGGTGCTGTCTGAAGTCTGAGCGCTGTTCCTCAGCTCTTCAGCTCAAGGCTACTGCTCTACCACTTGAGCCATAGCGCCACTCCCGGTTTTCTGGTGGTTTTTAGGAGATAAAGTTTCCCGGCCTTTCTTGCCTGGGCTGGCTTTGAACTGTGATCCTCAGATCTCAGCCTCCTGAGTAGCTAGGAATACAGGCGTGAACCAAGGGCACCTGGCTACAGTTTCACTCTTAAATGTTACAACGTTTATATGCAATTAACAAAATGCAGCCCATTGTATTGTTTATAATTTTAGAACATTTAAGTAAGATTTAATATTAACCACCTCAAAAATTGGAACTATACAGAAGTTCTGAATACCATTGCTAAGCAGGATTTGTATAGCCTGATCTTCATACTTCCTTAAAAATTGGGAAATCTCTAGAATTTGCATGTATTTATACAGATAAAATCAATATTGACTATTCATCCCTTGCTTTCCCTGCCAGCTTTTTATAAGTAGCTTAAAAAAAAAGCACAGCACAAAATGAAGTATAAATGAATCATGGAAAGGGCAGTGTTAGTGTTACAACACCAGAACTTAAGGAGCTTGCATCTTCTTTCTGTTAACAACAGTATCACAATTAAGCAAAACTGCTTACACAAGAACTCTGGAATACAGGTAAAGATCAGATTGTGATATACAAATAGAACTACCTTAGATTGCACTGTGGCATCACCAAAAGACTTGAGGTCATGAGGAGGAGATAGCAAAAGCTCTGGAGCATTTCAACTACAGGAGAAAATACCAAGACATATGAAAAGATTATAAATTTTAGCTCTAAGAGGTGCTCTGCATTGATAATATTGTTAACATTCAATTATTAAGAGAACCTATGCAAAGAAGAAAACATTAATTACATATGGATTTGTGGAGTGAGTGGGTACTGGGAATAGATTCTTAAGCCTTACCCCAGCTAAGGCAAGAGCTCTACAACTGAGCAAAACTGATCATCTAAGAGATTACATTACACAATGGGTTGATACAAGCAAGAAACCTTGAAACTGCAACTGGTGATTATACTTAAAGCAAAGCCCTTGCCTTTTTTTTTGTAGAGGTGGGTACATGAACTTACGTTCACATCCTTTAAGTTCAAATGTGTAAGGTGTCTAGACTTTATTCTAGAGTTCCCACTTTGAAATTTCTCAATTAACTGGCATTCCATTATATCAGGCAGAGGACCCCTTCTGAATATTTACATTTGATTTCATTACAAGTCCCACCTTTCCTCATGTTTTCCACCACACTCGCTTTTGAAACATTATTAGAATCTTAAATGGTGAGAATACTTTGGCTCGACTCCAAATTTACCCTGGAAAACCACTAAAAATTTCAAATAGTTACTTTACTTGTACTTCCCTTTGAACAGTGAGTACATTGAGGGCAATATGATTTATGAATGTCTAGTTGAGCCTTTGCCAAAAGTGATTCTAGTATCTTCCCGAAAAAAGAAAACAAAAACCAAATTCATAGCATTTTCTTATTTAAAATATAAATCTTTTAAGAAGAATATTTCTTCCATCGTCTTCCTTTAAGAATTTCCTACATTTTTACATTATAGAAATAATAATTCCAGGAAGTGGCGCTGTAGCTCAAGTGGTAGAGCGCTCGCCTTGTGTTGAAGAGCTGAGGGACAACGCCCAGGCCCAGAGTTCAAGCCCCACGACCGACAAAAAAAAAACAACAAAAAAAAACTATACAGAAATAATAATTCCACTTTTCAATAGATACAGTACTTTTTTCTGCTATTATCTTTGGCAGGTAATGATATTTGATAACCGTTTCTTTCATAGAGCAAGACTGTGGGCAATCTGTTTCTGAAACTTGGTCTATATCTTTTAACATTATTTTCTTCAACATTTAGAATTAAATAAATTTTTCTATTAATGTAAAGGGATATATTAGCATTATAATGTTCCTCTATATCCCTGATCTTAGCAGTAGCTTTTTGCCAAATAGAGGGAATATTTAGGTATTGTCATGAGAAAATTGAACATAATTTCATTCCCTAATTCATATGTACCACATGAAGTCAGATAGATAAGCAAGATTCTATAGTAGTAGAAACCCCAAAAGCACGCTCAGCCACTGTAGGGTCATTCTGTGTCTCAGGTCTTATAAAACTGTTATGCTCATCGGATCTGGAAGCAGGTTGTGAATGACTCATTGGTACAAAGAATACAGACGTAGTTCACTTACCACTTTTTCATACAGGTATCATGTTCATGCCATCACTAAGAGCTCCAATTTGGTCATCATCTTGGCTGTATTTCACGTGAAATTGCCTCTGTCAGAGTTGTCCTTGGATCTGGTCAGGTAATTTCAGCCAGGTATCATTATTTCTTTTATTTGCCATCTACACATGGGAAAAGCCAGAGGGAAAAGTAATGGGCTGAATTGTTTTCACCTGCAAGGAGATATGAGGGGTATGACCCTTGCTGCTTATCTGATAAACTCTCTCAGAACATTCTGATATGCCTCATGACAAAGCAACACCTGTTGAATGAAAATCAAATCTGAAATGTAGAAAGATTATAGCACTAAATAGAGAATTTCGCTCCACCTATTGATTTTTATAGGTGATTAGACTGAGTTACCCAATAGCCAAACCAGATCAACAACTCCAGTCTTCCACTTTCTACTTAGCACAATTTCCATCCAATGCCCACATATATATAACAATACCATCCTAAGGAAGCTACTAGACCATTAACCTGCAGAACACAGAGCTTGACTATTTCAACCTATAATACAACACTTGCTCCATTGGTGATGATCTCTCCCTCTCTCTGCCCATTTTTTCTCTCTTTTAGTTTTTATGTCCAATTAAATTACTTAGATTTTTCATATAATCAAATTCAGAATGCATTTAAATTTATCCCAGCTCTTAAAGGCTTCTGAATAATACCACTCAATTAACTAATTGTACCTGTCTGTCCTAAGGCTTGAATTCAGGGCCTGGGTCCTGTTCTTGAGCTTTTGTGTTCAAAGCTAGAGCTCTACCACTTGAGCCACAGCTCCACTTCCAGGTGGTTAATTGGAGATAAGAGTCTCATGGACTTTTCTGTCCGAGTTGGCTTGGAACCATGATCCTCAGATCTCAGCCACCTAAGTAGATACTAAGAAGATAGGATTACAGATGTGAGCTACTGGCATCCAGCGCTCTCTCTCTCTCTCTCTCTCTCTCTCTCTCTCTCTCTCTCTCTCTCCATATATAAAATTCTCTCAATCTCTCTCCCCCCCTCTTTCTCAGCTTATACTAGTTATTCAGGGAGGTATTTATTGTTATTATCCCATATTTTCAATATTCTATTCAATCTCACCCCTGTCATCACTCTTCAGACCTAACTCCTCCCTCAAATGTCAACAGGTAGCATTATTCTTCCCCAACCTTCTGTTGAGCAACAGCTTTCACTGAAGCTCTATATTCTTTTTACATATATACTTGCAATGCTTTTCAAAAGTATTCACTCTTTATCCTACCACTTAATTTTAAATGTACTCCTATTTCTACTTTATGAACCACTTATTAGTGAGATCAGAAATCTTTCCTTGATGAATTCTGGTTTTATTCTTATTTTTTAAATCAGGTTTTTGAGACCACAATAACCAGGAAGCTTCCCTGGCCACAGCATTCATTGGCTTTATTCTACCTGGGCTT